TGGTGGTGGTGGTGATGGTGGTGATGGGTGGTGGTGGTGGTGGTGGAGGTGGTGGTGGTGGTGGTGGTGGTAGTGGTAATAATGGTGATGTTAGTGGTGGTAGTGGCAGTGGTAGCCCTATCCTCAGTGACAAGGAACAGATTTCATCCCCTGAGAATAACTCTGGACTTCCACAGCCTGAGGTCAGAGGGTGGACCAGTCTCTGGAGCCATCCCTGTGCCACTCACTGCTGGAGAGCCCAGCACTCTGAAGGACGAGTCTATAGCTGCATCCCTACAGGAGAATGCTCAGGGATCTTGAGGGTGTGAAGATGGGTCCTTGTACAGATGTCAGTGCCATGCTTGTACCTCATACTTGTATCCCACATGGGAGATGCTTCCCAACTGTAACACTAGCCAGTTTAAAAGAACTGGGAGGGGAAGAGAACCTACCAGCCCACAAACTGCAAAGCTAAATGTGGCCAACAGAACTCCCTGCTGTGCAAGAAGGGACGTTACTAAAGTGAAGACAGATCTGGTGGGATGCCAGACATGTGGCCAGTGTAGGTTTAACACTACACAAACCCAAAGTCCTGAAGGCCCGCTCCAGTCTCCCCTTCCTCATGTGATGACTGCCGCCTCCAATCTCAAAGACCTAGCAAGGGAGGTTGTTCCAGCTTTACCTCCTTCCTCCCCTCCCCCTCCCTCTCTCCCTCCTTAGTCTTGTGTTCCTTCTCTATCCCTTCTCCCTCCTTTCTCCCTTCTTCCTTCATTCCTTTCTGTTGCCCTGTGTATCTCCATTTTTACGTATATTTTATTTTTTTACATTACTGAACTAAAAAAAATAAGTTTTTGTGATTCCCTCTCATAAAATTTTCTAATTTTATGTACACTTTATTATTGAGCAATCATTTTTCCTTTCATCTCGTTTTTCTTCATTTTATTCTCTTTTGACCATGTTTCCCTTTTGCATTCTACTATGCAGCTTGGCTTTGTCTTAATTTTTAAACTCATGTAATATACATACGTGTTTGCCGTGAAACATCTTTCTTGTAATGCTTTTGAGCATGCTTTTGACCTTGTCCTTCACTCCTGCCCTTCTTTCTTCTAATTGATCAAGTCTATTGGTGATCCTTTTCTTTGGCTTTATGTATTCATTAAGGTTTGAACTTCTCGCTTATATTCCCCCAAGTCTCAACTTCCTTGCTTAATTTTTCTTCCACAACTACTGACTTTCTCACCCGTTTTGCTTGCTCCATGGTCTTTGCAGCTGCCTCTCTAGACCTCAGATGGAGTTCATCTGCTTGTTTTTATTCCTTTTGAAGTCAACAATCATTTAGCTAGTAAAGTATTGAAATCTTTGTCCATAGTTTTAACCTCTTTCTGTATCCTCAAATTCAACAGCTGAGGAGTTACAGTCTTTTGGAGGAGTGATGCTGCCTTGAATTTTCATGTTTCTTATGTCTCATGCTGTGTCTTATTCTCTTATTGCATAACTTTCCCTTGAGTGCTCAATCCTCAATATGCTTAGAGAGGAAGAAACAGATTCTGTACCAGTAACAACATGAAACTGTACAAGACAAAGAAACACACTTAAAATTTACTAAAGCCATTTCCATATCACCAATGATTATAAAAACAAAAGGAAAAAACTAATATAGAATGTATTATGAAGTTACAAATTATTTAGTGTCAATAGCGAATAAAGTAAATTTCAAACCAAAATTAGTCACGAGAGATAAACGAGATGTGCTCAATTTGGTATCAATGGGAACAAACCATGAGGAGACAAAACACTTACAGATAGCGTGTCCTGAGTAATAGCACCCAACTTTGTATATAAGCACTAGTGAGCACAAAAGGTCACAGAATTCCAAATACAACAAAGGTGGGTGACTGCAATATCTCACTTTCATTTAGAAAATTTGTCAAAAGTAAGTTCAGCTAGATCTTAAAGCAGATGGAGTTCACAGAGATCCACAGAAGATCCCATGGACTTGATGCAGAGTGCACATGCCTTTGCCGCCTTCTATAACATAGACTACACGCTAGCCCACAAAGTCTTAACAAATGCAAAAGGGTTGAAACCATTTCTTGTGTTGATAAGATGACAGTGGAATTCACATCAAGAAAACTACACAACTACTTGAAAACTCTGGAATAACCTATTCACAATGGCTTAAAAAAATATCACTGGGAAATGAGATGACACACAATTAAAAGATTCTGCACAGCCAAGGAAGTAACAGCCAGAATGAAGAGGCAGCTGCATAATGGACAAATCTTGCCAGTTATACATTAAGCGGCAATTTTAAATCTAGAATATAGTTTTCAAAAACTCAAAAAATTAAGCATTTGCCTCTGAAATAAATCATCCAATCAATGTTTTAATGGACTGATTAGAAAGTTCTTGAAAGAAAAACACCATGGCCAATATATACTGCTAAAGGTTTTCAAAGGCCCTAACCCCATCAGGGAAATGCAAATTAAACTGCTCTGTTCCCATCTCACTCCTTTTGGAATGGCTATCATCAAGGAAACAAAGGACAATGAGAAAAGATACTAAGAAAGAGGAAGTTTATTCACGGCAGGTGGGAATGTAAGCTGGTCCCACCACTCATGAAATCAGTGTGGAACTGTATTAATGAAGTGAAAACAGAACTCCTGCTACCACTGTGTGTCCTGAAAGCACCACGCTTCCAACCACAGAGATACTTGCACATCCATTGTTTTTTCACAACAGGACGGAAATGGAACCACCCGTAAACGTCCACCAATGGATGAATGAACGAAGAAAATGCAGTTCAGGTATGCTGTAGAATTTTATTCAGCTGTGAAAAAAAATGAAATTGTGACATTTTCAGAGAAATGGATGGAACTACAAATTACTATTGAGAAATTGCTATGTTAAGCTTAACAAATCCAATTCATAAAGAGAAATGACATGTTTCTTCATATGAGAACCTAGATTCAAATTTGTGTGTCTGTGTGATGAAACTGGAGGGGGATGAAAGAGCAGAGAGCTCTCAGGGATGGAAAAGGGACACACTGGATATGGATCATGAACAAAGCATTCCTCTTGATGTTGCTTTTGTTCAGGGCACTTTAGTACAGCAACAGAAATGAAGCTGGAACACCTGTAAAAAAGAAAAATCCAGTGTGATGGCAGGTCTCATACCCAAGGGGAGGCTTGCTGGCAGGCTAGCCTCTCTACCTGATGAGTCCCAAGCCAATGAGAAACCTCATCTCAAAAAATAAGGTGTATAAAATAAATTTTAAATAAATAATTTTAAATGCTAGAATTGGTGGCACATGCCTTTAATCCCAGGCAGAGACAGGTGGATCTCTGAGTTCAAGGCCAGCCTGATCTTACAGATTGAGTTCAGGACAGCCAGGACTACACAGAGAAACCCTGTTTCCCAAAAACAAACAAACAAACAAACAAATAAATAAAAATAATGTGGATGGTACTTGGTAATTTTGCCTATGCCTATACACACACACACACACACACACACTCCACACAATACACACACACATACATCTACTGTTGATATCGCTCTGTATAAATAAACACTGATTGGCCAATAGCCAGACAGGAAGTATAGGTGGGACTAACAGAGAGGAGAATTAAGGAAACAGGAAGGGAAGAGAGAGATTGCCAGGACATGGAAGATGTAAGGTACCGATAAGCCACAAGCCACGTCGCAAAGTATAGATTAATAGAAATGGGCTAAATATAAGAGTAAGAGCTAGACAATGGTAGGCCTGAGCTAATGGCCAAGCAGTTTAAATAATGTAAGAGTCTGTGTGTTTATTTTATAAGTGGGCTCCGGGACTGGCGGGACTTGGTGGGAGCTGGAGAGAAATTCTCCAGCTATATACACCCCCATACACACACACACACACACACACACACACACACACACACACACACATGCATACACATACCACATACACACACACATGTATACACATACCACACACACAAACACACACACATACACATACACACACATACCACAATGAAAATCATTACTTCTTATATTTGATTTTCAAAATTAACTAGCTAGTATAAGCTTCCATCAAGAGCATTTATTCTGTTAGTTCTTTGCGACAACCCTAAGAAGTAACAGGTAGAAAAACACTGTTATTACCATCACATCAAAACATTACTGTAGATCAATGGTTCTCAACCTTCCTAATGCTGCCACCCTTTCATACAGTTCCTTATGTTATGGTGGCCTCCAACCATAAAATTATTTCTTTGCTATTTCATAACTGTAATTTTGCTACTCTGTGAATTATAATGTAAATATCTGATATGTGACTCCTGTGAAGAGGTCATTAGACCCCCCAAAGGGCTCGCAACCCACAGGTTGAAGACTACTGTAGATGATTTAGATTAGGACTTTTGAAAAGACTAGAGGGATTTATCAATGAAGAGGAGCTAGAGGACACACAGAGAGTGTGTGGTAAGATGGTCAAGTTGGTCTGGTAAGATGGCTCAGCAGGCACAGTACGAGAAAACAGATTTGCACACGTTGTCCTCTGGTCTCCCCATGTACTCCATGGCACGCTCATGCCCCTCACCACGCAATAAATCCATAGACATTCAATGGTAAAGGAAAGAACCATTGTTAAAGACGGCCGCATGCTAGACCAGCAAAGCAGCTTGGGCATGTACCTTCCTGGATACTCCACTAGAGGACAAGGCTGTGCACATATTATTCTCACCAATGCTATGTTTGGAATCAAAACCAGTAACTCCAAAAGCTGATTAACAGCAAAGTTACAGTGTGATGGCTTAGAAGATTTAAGAGTCAGGAACTGTGACAACAGGCTGCTGTGCGCACTGGCTCCTCCAAGGTGTCCTCTGACCTCCAAGTGCACACTGTAACTTGTGCTCACACATAAGCTCACGTGCACGGAAAAGAAATCAATGTAAAATCAAAAGGCTACACATACAGATTCAACCCAACTTCTCAGGTTTCAGAATCTCTGTGTACGTTTCTGTGGCACACTCATAGTGGCAGAGACAGAACACCATCAAGCAAGCCACAGTAGGCTGACTCCTGGCACCGGAGCCTCAACCCAAGGCTAGCCCAGGTGACCCCGCAGCTAACACATGGGGACTACAGCTGGAGCCCCGTCCTCACAAGCAGCCCGCTGGTAATGTGTCCATACCATCGTTGCAGGAACAACAAGAGTTAAGGCCGCACACAACGGGTCTGAGGAGCGATGTGAGGGAAGCTGAGACCTGACAGGGCACAGTGTTGCTTTGTTCTCAGCTGCTGCTCTGCTCGGGACTCTACTTTACAGAAAAGATAGGGTTTTTTGTTTGTTTGTTTGTTTTTTTGTCTTCTTTCAAGGCCAAATGGTAAAGTGGAAAACTAATTTAATGTTGCCTTTGTATTACCTTCAAAATAAAATTAAAGTTACCCTTTTATAGAAATGTTTTGCTTTCCCAAGGTTAAGAAATTATGAACCAAATCCTGTGAAATTGTTTCTCTGTGGTTTTCTTCTCTTTTGTTCTTTTATAGTTAGAAAGCTTATTGACTTGTAAGTGACTCTTCATGCTAATATGCACAATATTTATACATCTATAAGCAATGCCCACTTGCCCAGTGCCATTCCACACAGAAAAAATAGAATTTTATGTATCATTAAGCAGTTTCCAAGGTGTTGGTAATTTCAGGCAAAGCCTGAGTATAATGGCTAGTAGCATGCTCACCACCAGCATGCTGTTTGGGGTCTTTAAACCACTGCAGTGGATACACCTGGACTCCCTGGCTCAGTGAGGCCCCCCCTCCACACCAGCTGAGCACACAAACCCCTAATCAGGGCTCCTCTATAGGGCAAAGGGCCTGGGAAGGGGAGTATGGTCTGAGATTCCACCAGTCACAGTGGCTTTCAGCAGAGAGGCTCTGGCAGAGTCTAGGGCAAGCAGCGCATTTGCAGAGAGAAATGAAATGTGGATTCCTTTGATGAAAAATCAACAAAAATGTGCAATTCAAAGTGTTAAAACAAAGCACACACCCCCATGGTTCACCTTGACTTGCTCCAGGGATTTGAATTTGCTATTTAAAGTCTTTCCTGGAGTATGGGGATAGGTCAGTCAGTAAAGTGCTTGGCATCCAAGCAAGGAGACCTGAGTTTGATCCTCAGGACCCACATTTAAAAAAGCATGTGTGGCATGCACTTGCAATCCCAGCACCAGGGAACTGGAGACTGGTGGATCCTTGGTGCTCGCTTGCTGGTTCACCCAGCCTAGTTGGCAACTTTTAGGTCAATGAGAGCCCTGTTTCAAATGAAATATGTATGCACCTGTGGAACAACAAGGTGAGCTCTCGCTTCTGCTACATGTACACACACTTGAACACATACATTTACACACACACACACACACACACACACACACACACAACCATATGACTCTAGTTCGAGAACAAAGTTCAAAACATAAAGATTGCCGTTCATCTTTGTTTTGTGCAAAGTGAGTTTCATAAAATGACATTGAACTTAGCTATAGTGTCATTGACAAAACACAACTTGGCTTTTGAAGCTCCTATGTGTGTTTTATTCTGACAAGAACAGAAACTGGTTCCAGTTGTTTTTAATTTGCTTCTTCCTATGGCCCATTCTGCTACTTCCTTTGGCCAGCTGATGAGCAAGGATGAACATGAGGAAAAGGGGGCCCTGGGTCACCCCATCTTTTCTTTTTCTTCCCGCCATCCCCTCAGTACTGAGCTGGGGATCTTTCAGTTTCGTTTCTCAGAAGAACATGACTTTTATTTGGCAGTTGGGATTCTCATTCTGTTCACTGAGCCCCTTCAGATCCCCAAGGGATTCCCCAAGAGATCGGACTTCTAGAGCATCAGAAATCCTTCTTGAAAGTGGGAAGAGAAGACACTGCAGGTGGTGTGCATGTGTCCTGTGTGCATGCTCGAGTCCTGTCACCCCACTGCATTAACTTAACAAACATGAGCCGAGAGACTGGCAGGGAAGCAAGAGGCCCACTGAGGTGGTGCCCAGGGGAAACATGTATTACCAGAAGGGACTGGACAAACATACAGATCGTCATTCCAGTTTGTACTCATCTTATTCTAACCAAATGGTTAATTCTAGATGTTTGCCAGAACATTCAAAATAACTCAAACCCTTCACAAAACCATAGCTTGCTGTCCATGTTATTTCCAGTCCGCGCGCGCGCGCACGCGCGCGCGCGCGCGTGTGTGTGTGTGTGTGTGTGTGTGTGTGATGTGCTCAAGCACAGCAGAACATTCAGATGTGTTAAAATATAATGAATGAGTGGTGGTAACATTCATGTATGGCTGATATAAATAAGTTATAGTAAAATGCTAATACATATGTTTATGTGAGAGTTCCAATATTTATGAATCACACTCCCAAGTTCCTAAAACTCCCAAATTAGAGGGAATGTGAACATTTGAACATGGACCTGGATGTTTCACAATCATGAATTTACTGCTGTTAGACAACTAAACAAGCATTAGCAGGATTGGAGGATGCTGGGATTGGGTCTCCCTCAGCAGCGGCAGCCTGTGAAGCTGAGGTCTGGTACTTAGGACTCTAATTATTGGTCAGAGGGATGGGACCTGAGTCACATCTCTAGCCCTGGAAGGAGATATGTCATTCTGAACTGGCCAGAAGGTCATCCATTGATAACTATCTAGACCTGACTCCAGGAGCTCTGAACCTTATAAGATTACTATCTAGCAGGAAACTCTGACACAGGACAATGACATCCTGTTCCCCCTCTGTAAAAGGTCCTTCGAATGGGCCTGTCAATCACCTGACAGGAAATCTATCCTGGGAAAGCTGTCTGCTCTGAATACTTTAAAACAGTGTAAACCTGCTCAAGGGTCTCTGTGGCCATTGTCCACTGTCACCATGAGATGTCCCACCTCACTCTGTCATGAACACAGCATGTCCTCTACATGATGCCTGCATTTGGCCTGCCTCCTCCAGCAGAGCTCACAGGGCAGGTCTTTGCTATACTCACTGAAAGTCTAGTCTCTGTTTATTAGATGTTGTTGCACTCAGAAGCAAAATTTACTTGTAATGACTTCTTTAGAGTTCTTATGTTAAATAATAGGTAGAGAAAACTGAAGTGTGACCTACTTCTACAACAAAAGTGCACAAATCATGCGATTAAATTTGTGATTCAGATAAACTGCCAGATAGTGCGAATCTTAGACTGATTGTATGAAGATTGTATGTATTAGACCTGGTATTGGTGTGTATGAATCTTCATGTTCCCAGGACGTGAGGTCCATGCTCCTCTGTCCACCTGACCCATGGTGTTAACCAGCCACAGAAAGGGTAGAATGTTCGCTGTCAGTGGGACTTCATGTCTTTGGGGTGAGACCTTCAACCCTGTGGCAGTCTTAACCGTTACTGTTCACTTTCTCTTTCCTTTTTATCAACATAGCATGTTCACTTTTAATCAAGGCAGAGGAAAACCGACAAGAGGCCTCTGGACTGTCCCGGACTGTGTGCTCCTTCGTACATTCCTTAATCAAGCGATTGTTTTCCTGGTACAGAGACAGGTACCAAGGACGAGTCAACGGAGAAGCAATCGGAGGCAACTTTGCAAGTAGCTCAGGGACTGATGCGGATGACAAGCGTTAAACAGTGCACAGTGGGCAGCAGTAATTATCCAAGGGCATACATGTATGTGTGTGTCATGTGTGTAATATGTAATATGTGTTTGTAGACACACATGTGTATGGTATGCATAGGAAGTATATGTGTGCTACATGTAACATGTGTGTGGTGATGGGCATTTATATAATACATATGGGTGTGTTATGCATACATGTGATACAGATGAATGTGTAAGATGAATATGTGGATGCCCGTGGGTATGCTATTCATGTGTGTAATTTATATTATATGATATGCATGTGATACATGTGTGATGTGCATGGGTTCGCGTGCTTTATAATATACATACTATATGTGTGTGATGTGTATGGTGTGTGTGATACCTATGTGTATGACATAAATGTATATATTTGTGTGTGGTGATATGCATATGATAATATGCATATGTGTGGAATGTATGTATATACCACCTATGGTATATGTGAATCATGTATGTTTGTGACATGTATGTACTTGATATGTATAAGTGACATGCATTTGTGTGATATAGATATGTGTGGTGATATATATATATATATGATGTTTATTATATGTGTATGTATGGTATGCATTTGAGTGGTATATCTGCATGTGATACACATGTGTCTGGTGTACAAGTGTCATAAGTGTTATGAATTAAGGGGAATGAGTGACGTCAAGAGAGGTTGCTATGGAAACCCTAGGAAAAGAAGAGAGGCACCAAGAGAAAGTAGGGGGTGGGTGGTTGAAGCTCAGCGGTAAGGTCGAGGTTAGGTGAAAAGGCGAGCCTGGGCACATGAAGTTCCCGAAGGAAGTCTGTGCTGAAGTGGGGAGCAGAAAGCCGTACAGAAGCCAGATCTATAAAGTTGCACTTCACGACAGTTGGAACTCAGGAAACACACCAGAGGAGAGGAGGCTGCCGGATGCTGTCAGACAGTAAGGCGTCACTCAACTGAGCCAAAGTCAGGTGTGCATCCAGGCAGAGTCCAGGCCAATGGTTCGCAACTCTTTGGGGTAAAAAGACCCTTTCACAGGAGTCACATATCAGAAATTCTGCATATCAGAGATTTTCATTATGACTTGTAACAATAGCAAAATTATAGCTATGAAGTAGCAAAGGGAATAATTTTATGTTTGGGGGTCACCACAACATGAGGAACCATATTAAGAGGTCGCAGCATTGGGAAGGTTGAGACCACTGCTCTAAGGCCTCTGCCCATTGGCAGTTTGATTTCTCTGTATCCAGAATGGTGTGAGAACCGAGGACTTTTCTGTCCTGAAAACGCTTTGCTGGCAAACACGTGTTCCATTCTCTGATATTATACAACTAACCAAAAGGGAAAAAGAAGCAGCCACAGAATGCATTACTAATCTATTACAAGAGAGTAAACGCTACACATATAAACACCAACTTAGCAGTTCATATTCTCCAAATAACGTGTGTTCAAGTTACCCCAATAATAGCCAAACAGTGAGCCACAGCCCTCATTTCTTAATAGAGATATAATGGGAATAAGCTTCAGCAACTGGCAACAAAGATTGTCTATGTCTTCTAAATTAAACTCATCTGCCTCTTGGCTTCTTAGGGTATGAAGAAAGCCCTCTTTGCTAATGTTAGAGAAATCAACTCCTGGTGAAGAGAACAGATTCTCTAGCTTTGCGTGTAGACCTGGTATTCTACTTAGGTAGTGTTGCTCACTCAGTCCACCCCTCAGCCTACCCCCAGCCTACCCCCTAAGCCTGCCCCTCAGCCTAGCCTCCAGTCCACCCCTCAGTCCACCCCCCAGCCCATTCCCAGCCCCCAGCTCACCCCTCAGCCCACTCCCCAGCCCACCTGCCAGCCTACCCTCAGCCCATCCCTCAGCTCACCCCTCAGCCCACCCCCAGTGCACCCTTCAGCCCACCCCTCAGCCTACCCCAGTAAAGCAGGCTGGCTTTGAGCCATACTAAAGTTAGGCAGACTCTTTAGTTCTTTAATGAGATACTGAACTTGCTCCTTCCCCGAATCCTTGCCCCTAATACAGCAGCTAACAGCCAGGTAGGGCTCTAAGTCTGCCCACCTGTGACTTCCTCTTTTTTTTTCTTCTCTTAGGAAAGCATTCCCAACACTTTGGACTTCCTTACTCTCTCTAAAGCCTCCACTCCTGCCCTGTGGCTGTTTGTCTGTCAGTCACATGCCTGTCCTCCATGTCAGCTGACATGCTGTTTTCCCTTCTTTCCTCCATTCCCGTCCTCTGGGCACTGCTGGGGTCTACAGCCTGTCTGCCCTGGGTTTTTCTTTTCAACTCTCATGAAACTGTCCTTGAGCTTCCGTTTGAGTCCATTCTCAACTGCTCTTACTAATGAGCCCAGGAACCCGAAGAGGGGCCTGAGTTCCCCTCGTGCCATCTGGCTTTCTTGAGTTCCCCCAGGATCGTCCTGTTGGTGCAGGAGACACGGCTCTCATCTTTCTCCCCAACATACTATCTTTATTAATTATCTGGGAATTTCATACAATATATCCCAATCACACTCACTCCCCATTCCACCCAGATCTATACTTCCAGCCCTCCCTGCTACCCCAAAAAAGAAATAGAGGGAAAAAAAATAGAAAACACCAAGTCCAATTTCCATTGCCCATATATACTCATTGGAGTACGGTCAGACTCCCAGTGGCCAGCCTCCAAAGGAAAATCGAGTCCTTCCCCACCTGCACCACGCCAGAAGCCGCTAACTGTGGGGAGCTACGCTTCAGCATCCTCATCACAACAGCTTCCTGTCTGGTCTGTTTCTCTTTTGGGGAGAAGGGGCTGGCCCAGAAGCCTCCAATGTCTCTTATTCTCAATTATGAGTCTGTCGTCATCGACACCTCTGCAAAAGAAGCTTCCCTGCCCATAACAGCTGGCGGCGGCATGGATCGTGGACTTCCATATGGTGCCCGGCAGCAGCATGGATCATGGACGTTGACATGACTTCCAGTTGCAGCAGATCAGGGACCACAACATGGTTTCCAGAGGAAGCACATACCGTGAACATCAACACAGTCTCTAGGGGCAACACAGACCATAGACGTCAACATGGCCTCTGACAGCACCATGGACCATGGGAGTCTTTTGAGGAGACTTAATCCAGAAACTGAACTATTCTTCCCCTCAGATACCTCGCTTTTCAGAGTCAGGGTGATTGTGCAGTTTGGCAGCACGTCTTGGGGCAGGACTTGAGAGAGCTCCAGGCTGCTGTACTCCACCTTGCCCTCAGCACCAGCCGCCTTGCCAGTGACGGGGCACAACACGTTCTGCAGCCTGCACACAGCGCTGCAAGCCCATCCTCTCCTCGAGCCAGCAGGGTGAGCACTGAGAAAGGCAGCCTTGGCAGCAAAGGCCTAGCTGGTGACAGGGCAAGGTAGGCCAGGCGGTGGTCCAGAGGACTGGCCCTTCTCAGTGACAACACACTCTTTTGTCCATCACAGCCATGCTTCCACACGCGTCACCTCTGAGTCTCTAGTTCTGCACGCACGGCCATGTCCCACCATCGCTTTTTCCAGTTCCCTGAAACCACTTTGTAAAGGCACCTTCCCAGAGACCTGTCTTTTTTCGGGTGTTCCGAGGATGCTGTGAGCTCTGCAGGTCGTCCTCCGCCACTGTGACTCCTCGAAGGCTCCATGGGTCTCTGAGGCTCCTCAGCGAGACCTCAGAGGGCTGCCAGACGCTGCTGTCTTCCCTCAGTCCCCAAAGCTCTCACCTTAAGTGGAATAAAAGACAGTTTATTCCTGTGCCTTTCTGAGTGCCCATGGCCTGGGAACACAGATTTAGGATACCCCCAAATTCCATGTGCCAACATGGCAGTAGTTCCATGGTTGTACAGAACAAAGAAAGACATAAATCCGGGCAAGTGTAGAACACACTGATGGATACACCAGAGAGTGGAAGCTCTGTGTCTTAGATGCTTCCTGATGGCACTTAGCATTTGGGTTGCAGGAAGCTAGTGGTCTTCGGTGTTAATGGATTCCAAAAGATTTTCCACCTGCTGTTCACAGGTTGTTAGTTCTGACAGGAGTCGGGCAAGGAATGGCTCTCTATGGGACCAAAGCTAGCCCAAGCTAAGGTGAGTGGCTGCTGGACCTGAACCATTCCAGTCTCTCCACAGCACCGCAGTTCTAGTCAGGTTCAGCAAACCCAGCTTCTCTTCAGGAACTCTCTTCACAGGGCTTTGCCCTGTGCCTGCCATTCACCCACTATTTCATCCAGGCATTGATGGCAGGTCATGGAAGGGCGCAGGCTGTCTGAGCTCAGGCTATAACAGGAGATCAATTCCAGGGAGAAATGATTCCTCATTGCTTTTGATTCCCCAGCAGACCAGATTCCTAACTTTGGTGTTCTTGGACAGACCTCTCAGCCCACAATGATCCAGAAGGATTCTTTCCAGCAGCTCACCCTGACACTGTGACCATTGAGCAATGAATGCAGTCAGCTTGCTCAGCTTCCTGGTCACGTGACCACAAAAGGCAAGCAAAACTGGATCAGGCTGGTTATTTCTAAGTCCAGGTGATACTCCGAAAGGTCAAGTTTGGTAATAACATTAGCTATGAATTAGCAAATTTCAGTTTCTACAGCAAACTCTGGTATAGGGTCTTCCTTTTAGAAACATTTGGCCTTTGGTGAAATTTCATAGGGGGGAATGACTAGTGAAGGAAGCCCTTTCTTACAGCACCAACAAATGCACAATAGATTCAGATACAAAACTGTGGAGTGAGTGAATTGTGCATTTCTCTCCGGATGGACAGCTAGCTCAGCATTGTGCTAAGATTAGAGAAGGAAGTATATTTAAATACCGTCTTCCCGACGAGGTTCCGTCTGAAAAGGACAACTCAAGCCTGTGCTGATTGCTCCACCTCTCTGGTAGGCTTTGGTTTTATTTATAGCAACCAGGAAAAAAGCCCACGCTTTGTATCTTCTACAGGACTTCCACCGAAATCTTTTGAAGATAATGTGTTTTCATAACCGTAGTCTAAGATATTTTCTCTTAATGATGAAAAAGAAACAGGAAAAGAAAAAAAGGAAGGAAGGAAGGAAGGAAGAAGGGAGGGAGGGAGGAAGGGGAGAAGGAGGAAGGGAGGGAGGGAGGAAAGAAAAAGACTGGGTATGGTGGTGTCCAACTGCAACCCCAGATTCAAAATGCTGAGACAGCAAGATCATAAGTTCAAGTCCAGCCTGGGCCATAGGCCTGAGTCTAAATTGATCTTGTCTCTAAAGCATAGAAACAGATGGTGGTGGTGGTGGTGGTGGGGCGGGGGGGGGATTCTGTGGTCAGAGAAGTTGGGGAAAGGCTGTAAATTGCATCTCTCCTTCTTTCCCCGTAGCAACAGGTATCAACACGAGAGAACACTGGAAGTCCTATAAGGAGAAGGCGTTCATCCCCCAGACTCCCCGAGCCAGAAAAAATCAGACAGTAAAGTCTTATTTTCAGGTCACACTTTCCAACACCCTCCAGCACATTGGGTGCAGAGTATCCTTTGAAAAAGCTGCAATGAACCAGGAGATGCTCCCCAGAGCCCGGCATTTTCTCACTCTCAGCTTTACTAAATAAATTCCCTGTTCCATTGCCTCTATTCAGTTTTTTTAAATATGAACTCATTTTTTAAAGTGCATTTTTAACATCCATTACGTTGTGGTCGGGTTCTAGGCTTATCAACACAGAATCTTCCTTGTGGGAGCCGCTAGCATTTCTAGAAAGAAAAGATACATTTCCTTAAAAGGAGGCTGTGCAGAAGAGCCACTTGCGATGATATAAAATTGGGTGCTTACACACATGAGCTCTCCCAGGGTTAAGGGGCCGGGCAAGCCGTGCTCACTGCCACTTAGAGTTGATTGCAGAATGCCGCACAGCCTTTGTTCCCGCTGCCTGCCATGTTTTCCCCCTTCCCCCGGGACACCCAGAATACAAAATGTGTTGTTTGGTCTGTGCCACAGTTTTGGCAGGTTGGAAATCCCTACAGTGGTAAGCCCGATTGTGTCCAATGTTAGAATTTTCTGTCAGGAAGTCATACGTCTTCAAGCCAATGTCATAAGAAAACCCTTGTCGCCCTCTAAGCCCCAGCCTGGCCTTGGTGATCTTTTAGCTTCAGTCTGGGTCCCCCATGGCAGGTCCCTAGACTGAGTCATTCTTTTCAGATGTCAATGTGACTGGGTGTTTTTGGAGTGGCTTCCCACCACTGGATTACTATAAACCCAGCTCCTGACCGGCCCCACTGCAGTCTTTCCCACCTGAGCCTCCTCCCTCCCTTCTGCCCCACCCCTCCCTCCTGCCCCACCCCTCCCTCAGGGCACCTGACAGACACCTGCAGCTTCAGGCCTGTGGGCCCCCCCCTCCCTTCCGCCTCTGCCATTTCTCTTAATGTCCTAAGATCTCAGTGAAATAACCCTCTCCTTCCCCATCTTGTGTCCCCTTTCTCCTCCAGCCCCCAGCCGCCCCTTTTCTTACTTTGATAAGCTTGTTTTAACGTTTAAAGTATTTGTCTGCTTATGTGTATATCTCCATGGGGCCTGGACATGATTCTTTGAGATCCAGCTCAGTAGTCTGTGGGGTCTTCCACAGGTTAGACACTGTGAATGTTTGCTGAATGAATGAGACAATGAGTGAATGAATGAATGGATGAGGTTTAGTGGAATGAATATGCACAACAAACAGGACATCTAAAGAAAGAAGAATATAGAAACAAAGTAGAAATAAGATGGTTTCAAGCACAGGCATTTTTTAAAAAAGATTACAGAACTATCTAGAGCCAAAACAGCAGAGAGCCGCAGCCCACCTGATTCTGGGGACGAGGTACACTGTGAGGCACTTATCCACTCCTGCTTTGGATTTCTTCCTTGTTTGTTAGCTTACCAGGAGAGAGCTACATGAAATGCTAAAAATAATAGAGCACTTTGATTTTTTAATAGTTTAAGCATCCCCCAAAATTGCAAAAATAGTACATTTTAATGTAACCTTCACTAGTTTCCACCAATGACCCAAACTTGACCGTAGTCTGTGTTCCTATTAACTCAGACTCAACACTTACTTGAATTTATATGAGGGATTGCTTTTAATTCCAGAGTTAAGAGTTAATTGGGATCATATCTTCACTCTATTAGTCAGGCAAGTGAGACCCACTTGCATATTTAGCACAGAAAATAGTAAATTAAGCAATTCTTTCCATTTTCAACAATTTCAAGATAAAAGAAACTACCAGTTCCAGTCCACTCAGAACTGGTCTCTCCTTTGTGGCAAAGCAGGGCACAAAGTCCTCCATGGTTTCAAAGGAGAGGGACAGAAGAATCTTTGCTACTAACCCCTAAAACCAACGCTTGGCTTGCCGGGAACTCCCTTCCTGCTAGTGATGAGACTGTCAGGGACATGGCTATGCTGGGAGATGACACAGAATTCAAGGAGAGCCCCAGCTGTGCTAGATGAGGGCCCAGCCAGGTCTGGGACAGATGTCATGGACAGCAGGTGTCTCTAGTGCCCAGGAAGGTTGTAAGTCCTCCTGCGGCCCCTCAGCCTCTGCAGGTACCAGGGCCACCTGCAGCCATGGGCCACACAGGCCACCTGTCTCCCCGAAACCACAGTCTCCTTGGCCCACAGGCTCCTGCTCACCACTTCTAGCTGCTTGAATGAGACAAATTAGTGTTCAGTGAAATTAGTTAATTTGGTGGAACGAAATGCAGTACAAAGATGCCCTTTAAAGTGGAGAAAATCTAATATTACAAATACAACGTTGGCTACAGGCAAGGTACTGGCACTTTTGTTCTGTAAGGGAAGGCTTTCAGCCTTTGAAGAGCCCAGCCACCCAGAGGAGCAGGTTCTTTGAATATGACCATATGGCCTCAACTGTATCTGTTGGAGAAGACCCATGCTCGGTAACCAGAGTGGCTTGAAGCACGATATGGCTTTTCATTTTGGGGGGCTAGCCTCATTTAACTTCTGGTTCTTTAGAGGACTCTCCCACAATGTAATGATTTTGGTTCAGGAAATGGAATGAGCCTGGGAGAAACAGTGAAGATACTTCCATTTCCCCTTATTCCTCAATGAAGTGAAAGAACTTGGAATCTGGCAAAAAGACCTCTCTCCACGGTCTGCTGCTCATGTAAAGCTGGGCCATCTTACCTTCAGTTTCCTGGCAATGCTGGTAATGTAGGACAATGACAGGGAGGTTTAAGTGACGTCATAAATGCTAAGGTCCTTCACAAACAAAGATCAGGAAAACTCGGTGAATGACACCTCTTAAAGCCTCAGAACATTCTCACACAGCTTGGAGTAGCATCCTAACCACACGGCTTCCCAGGGAACTTCCCTTTCTCTTTCTTGCCCTTTCTGTCTTTTCTCTTCTTCTGACAGGACTAGAAGGGGTGATTAGAGGTGGAATAAAGAGAATGGAAGCTAATTTTCTTACTAGAGTTCACAGCGTATGTTATCTTATCTCTGCCAATAGTCTCCACAGAAGGATGTAAAGTGCATGCAGATTCACATGCAGAATCTAGCCAACAATGTGTGTATCTGTGTAAGCAAGTGCACACGTAGGTGCCGTATCCCACGAAGAAAGGAGAACAAGAAAGGCTAAGTATAGGGAATGAGGAGGGAGCGAATGTAAGCAGTGGATTCAAGTTTGTATATACAAAGCTTAACGTTTCTCTCGTTCTAACTGTCATGGATTTTGTTGGTATATAAGCCCATAAAATACACTCCCCTGAAAGTCTAAAACT